AAAAATAGCCACTATTTTGCTGCAACAGGGACCGGTCCAGTATAATATACGGGAATTCTGGTGCATTTGTGTACGAACTCCAGCATATTATGCTGGACCGGTATACTTTGCTAACTCCTGTAAAATTTGCGGGAGACTGGAGCACTAGTGCTCCAAACTCCAGTATATTATACTGGACAATTATGCTTGAACTCCCGTAAAATTTGCGGGAGTTCCAGCATAGTTATCCTGGAACTCCCGTAAAATTTACGGGAGTTCAAGCATACTTATGCTGGAACTCCCGTAAAATTTGCGGGCGTATTTTTCCGGATTTTGAACAGTGTTTTCGCTAAGATTTATAGTGGCTAAATTTCGATGACTTTTGAAACTTGGCTATTTTTCAACGACCAGTGGTAAATCTGGTTAATTTTGAATTTTTCCCCTTTTAAAATGGTTAATTTGGGATTCACGCCCAATAAGTGCAATCAGAAATTGGTTAAAAGTAGGAATTTTTACCTTCTATAGCAAATGTTAACACCTTATTTATTTTAAATAAATACCATTTAAAAAAATTATATTCTATAGATACCTTTTAATGTTTATAGCAAAATTTCTAATTTTGGTTATCTCATACCCCTAAGCCACTAAATACGCTATTCAGTTACACTATTTCTTTCTCTCGCTACTTTGATACATGTCATTCTCTTCCCCCATTCCCTGAAAACACGATGCTCAATCTCAAAATTCCTCTCACCAATTCAAAGTTGCCGTTATGCCTGGCCCAGTCTCGAACAAGCATCAGGTTTCAGAGCAGTTCCAGTGTAACATCGGTGGAAGAAAATTTGCCTATACACACGTTCGCCGAAATTCCGTCGCCAGAGATATTCTCTTCTCAAATTGAACCCAAAAATGTCCCAGCGGTGACTTCTCTAATTGAGAAAATATACATATAACAGTATATACACACAATACTACATTTGTGCGGATGTGCTCAACAATGTTTTCTTTTTGTTGGGTTTAGATTTTCAAGGGATGCATAAAGCATTGGAAGGCTTTCTCAAAATGGAACCCGTCGGACGGTGGCCTAATACAAAAAAGGCTAATCTTTTCAATCAAATTAGAATCCCTGGTATTCTATTAATCGCGATGAAAAAGAAGACTTCTGTTAATATATTTCAATATATTTTCAACGTATCACGTTGTATTTTCATGTATTTCATTGTATTCATTATTTTTTTTCATTGTAATTCAATGTATCTCGCTGTATTCCATGTATTTCATTGTATTCACTGTCGTTTTTTTCATTGTATTTCAATGTATCCCGCTGTATTCTATGTATTTCATTGTATTCACTGTCTCGCTATATGCCATGAATGTATTCACATGTTTTTTTTAATTAATATAATTTATGTATTCAGATGTATTTTATAATTTCTCTGAAGATTGCTATGTTTTTGGGGTATATTTCGGTTGAGAATCTTTTTTATAACTGGAAATACAAAATTTGTATGTTATAATTGAGTTTGTTGAGTTACATTAGGGGTTTATTATGTTAATTGATTCACTTTTTTTAAAAACAATGTAATCCCCTGTTTCACGTCGTGAATACAATCGACTACAGTCGAATATAATAATCTGTCCAGCTGTAATCCCATGTTTCACGCCATGAATACAGTCGAATACACTCGAATACAACAACTGATTAGCTTGACTTCCCTGATTCACGCCTATTTTTGCTACTGTGTTCATGAATACAGTAGCTTAAATACATCTAATACATCTTATAACAATAGAAAACGTATCTACAATCCGTAATATAGCAAATGGTATCTATAGATAGCTAATTACCACTAAAAGATAGTGCTTTATGAAAATTTCTCTTAAAAGTATCAGGGGTTAGCTAGGATAGATTATGCGAATTGTTATCCGGAAAACTCCCTCTTCTGGTCTCTCCTTCCCTCGTCTATTTCTCTCTTTGGATCTGTCTCCTCATCTCCTTTCTTTCTGTTGCTATTTTCTTAGTTTATGACTATATCCTTTGCATTTCTATTGTAATCAGTTTATTTGGAAGTTTAATCTATTGCATCCCTGAAACTTCAGCATGGAGAACAATGCTGGATAATCCACTAGCATTGGCTTATATGCTTTCAGATTGTGGTCATTATCAATTTATTGGCAGAGGTACATTGGATTACTTAAGTGAACTCGATCATGCTAAACTTATATTATTCTTGCGTCGATTTCCATTGGATCAATTCGGACTACACTTCCCATTCGATGTTGGTCAAGTTTTCTTATCGCATACCTTAGAGCTACACGGAATTATGTATCTTGTGAGGCGTTGTGCAATTTGATGCTTGATCAATTCACTAAGCCACCCTCGTGGAATTCCTGCATTGTACCTTTGAAACTTCGGTTGCGAAATCCTATAGGTGCATCCAACTGGGTGACTTCCAACAGTGTGGCCAATATTGTTCTTGTAGAAGTTGCTCTTGATGACCTTTATGCTAATTATGCCATTAATAAGGGACCTCTTAGGAAGCTTATACAGTCACATGTTTGCAGCATATATTTTTGGACTAATATCAACTTTGAT